CCATCTTGCTCTTTGCATTGATATCACTGCTTTATTGTGTCGCAAGTGACTGGCATGGAATACGGATTTTGAAAATGTGTCATTGGAGGTGTCTAACTGCAAAAGAATGTGAGTGATTCAATAAGCAAAGCAGCAAACGGAGAATTTAAAGAGTCTTTCATTTCATTTCCTCTTCCAAAGCAGATTTTGTGTGATTTTTGTCTAAGTCACTACCTTTCAGATCCTCAGTTTTGCCACTTGGCAAAACTAATTGGTTACAAATAAGGTGGTTCAACTGAGCAAGGTAAAGTGCTAAAAAAAGTTAATGAGAACTTGAAACCTAGGCTATTCTTTCCATATTAAGTTTAGATAAAATATCTATCTGAAACAGGAGGGAGGACATCTAATCGACCCCACCTTTTGGCATTGCTCTCACTTTAAATGGAATCAAACTGTTTGGGTTTAGGAAATGAGACTTAATAGGAATTCTCTTTCCCGTTTTTATTCACCAGAGAGAAAGATGTAGTTGGTTTTGAATTAATTTCAGATTTCTAAGAGAGATAGGCCATTGTGTAGGGAAATTTAATATTGAGGTAATTGCAAACCAGTGTCTATGCTGTTTTGCTATATGGATGACAGAAAAAACACTAGAAAAAATGTAGTTTTAATGAAATATAGCTGAAAGATTGCTTTCAGAGCATTTAGTATTCTCAGATATTAGTTTGGACAGTACAGGCCAAACTAAACCAGCCCCAGGTCAGATTATCTGGTGGATGTCAGTAACTTCTGTATAAATTATTTGTAAAAGGCAGACAACAGATTTGCTTCTTAAATTTAGGATCTGAGCTTTCTTATTTTTCCTTCTTCACATAAAATCAAGGAAGAAAAAAAGTCTCCCAGTCTAACCCTCTCCTCTTTCAAATGCCAGGTCAATTTGTGGCTATTAAGAACCCATTCTACATTTAATGTGGTTAGTTAAGTGGTCTAATACCCCCAGTTATCCAGATAGTTACATTCAGTAAGGTGGGCATTTGGTTAGTGGAGTCAGAGAAGTGGTAATCTGATTAGCCAGTTGCTTTTTTGAGGCTATTGGCTAAGATTTCTTGGTAAAGTTGATCTCCAGAAATATTGTAGGAATTTGTTATTTCCAAAAGGTCTCCTTTACAACTTTCCCCTAAGAGAGCCCCATAGTCTCATCAACACATTAAACTTGCACTATCTTTTTTTTTAATCCTCACCCAAGGATATTTTTTTCCATTGCTTTTCAGAGAGAGTGGAAGGAGGAGGGGAGGGAGGGAGAGAGATTGGTTGCCTCTCACACTTGCCGCAACGGGCTGGATTAAGCCTGCAGTTGAGGTACTGCCCTTGACCAGGAATCAAACCTGACACCCTTAAGTCCATGGGCCTATTCTCTAACCACTAAGCCAAACTGGTTAGGGCAGAACTTGCACTATCTTTTCCTGCATGGAACAGTGTCAGAGATAGACGGCTATGGATCAGATTTCCAAGCAGTGCATTTGTTGACATCTTGTAGGACCAATCTAATTGCTTTTTCCACTGAATTTTACAGCTAGAAGGGTCAGAGGTCTAAGTGTGGTGTCTACCCTGCAGTTGTCAGAGGTGCCGAAAGACCTTTGCAGTTTGGCAAATGGTTGTTTCCTCGTTCTACAGGTATAGAAGGGACTATTGCACTAAGGAAATTTTGTTTAAATGCTGGAAGCCAATGACCATGCTATTGAGAGACTTGAACTGTGCAGAGAGTGAAGTTACCTTGCTCTTGCCCCTTTTTCTTTTTTTTAAATATATCTTTATTGATTTCAGAAAGAGGAAAGGAGAGGGAGAGAGAGAGATAGAAACATCAATGATGAGAGAGTCATTGATCGGCTGCCTCCTGCACATCCCCAACTGGGGATCGAGCCCACAACCCGGGCATGTGCCCTGACCTGGAATCGAACTTGATCGCCTGGATCCTAGGTTGATGCTCAACCGCTGAGCCACTCCCGGCCGGGTGTCTTGCCTCTTTTTCATCCCCCTTCTGACCCAGCCCCAGATACCTGCTCTTCTTGTGTGTTTCTGTCAGAGCAGCAGCACAGTGGTATTCTCTCCTCAGCCTGCCAGCCTGCCAGCCTGCCAGCCTCCCAGCCTTGGGTCCCTGGGTGTTCTCCAGGGAGGGACCAATTAGGGTCATAGAGGGGTTCCTGTTTGTTCCCTCTGTTAAATACTTTAGAACAATGCCCATTGTCCTTACCTGTAGGTTGGGATTGGTGCAAAGGTTCTTAAAGAGGGAGGCCATTGGTTCTCTTTGGTTCACCTGCTCATATGCTGCCACCTAGTGGTTCCTTCTCCTTTAGCACCCTGTGTAAAGTGGAGGGGACATATGGACAGCTCAATATTACTTTTTATCTCTTTTCTGTTTTTCTCCCAGATCTAATTCTTCCCCTTTTCTTACCTCTTTTTTATAGCACACACACAAAAAGCTTCATTGTTTTTTACTCCTGGGTCAGAAAATCTGAAAATGAAGAGCTGGCATACGATCTTTTGAGAAACTTGGAATCCATTGACAACATCCCTGTTTGCTCCCTGGTTTGTCTCCTTTGATGATGTGAAATGAATGTCTTACTGTAAGGCTATGACTTAGTTGCTATAGAGGTGAGGAAAGCTACTACCAATCCAGGACTGTCCTGAATAGGCAGTTTCAGAGATACATTTTTTTTTTCCCTTTTTATTTCTTTTTATTTTTCAATTATAGTTTACATTCAATATTACATTAGTTTCAGATGTACAGCATAGTGGTTAGACAATCATGTACTTTACAGAGTGGTCCCCCCTGATATTTCAAGTACCCACCTGGCCCCATACATAGTTATTACGATATTATTGACTATATTCCCTATGCTGTAATTTACATGAGTGAAAAATTTCTTTGGCTGCTCAGTTGCACATTTTTCAAAATTTCTCATGTAGAGAGTCAGGCAATAATAATAGCTAATCCTTATTGAGCAGTTACTATGTGCCAATCATTGTTTTGAGTACATTGCACGTGTTTTTCCTTTAATCTTCCTAATGACCTGGTGAGATGGAGTATACCTCTTCTAAGGTGAGGAAATTGAGGCATAAAAGGTCAAGTAACTTGCTCTATAGAACATACGTAGTAAATGAGGATCTGGGGTTTATTCCCAGGCTGCTTAGTTCCAGAGCTTATGTTCTTAACCACTGTGTGTTTTTGTTTTTAAATTTATCTTTATTGTTGAAAGTATTACAGATGTCCCGTGTTTTGCTGCCTCTTCAAGGTACAGATAACCTGAGTGCTAGGTACAGGCAACAGGAAAAGGAACAGGGCTTCAAGCACTTGTTTGGCCCCTATCTAGAATTTGGTGCCATGCAGGATCCAGTTGGGTAGTTAACTGAAGCCAAAAAGGAATTCTCCAATGTGTTAACTCCGAGGACTTTTTTCTAGCCCTGTGTCATTTCAGAGACATTCAGCACATAATGAAAAATAACCAAGGAGGTAGCCAAAAGAAGTCCAAGAGGTCAAGCAGAAACCAGGCAGGCCTAGGTTCCAGAGATGATCCTGTACCAGAAGATAACTGCAAGTCCCCTTCTCTATCTGGGCTTTTGTTTTCTCTCTGGCTATCCCTTCCTACTTTTTTTGGAGTTGGCAAGAATGCCCAGAACCAGCATTTTGATACCATTACAAAAAGAAACTCAACACCATCACACATGGCCAGGAACCAAATCTGAATTTTATTTATGCTTTTCAAATCAGTCAAAACAACCAGCAGCTTCCTTCTCCAAAGGTTTCCTTGTCTCTCACCATCTCTGTGACAAGCCTGTGGAAAGGGCAGAAGTGGCTGTGTGGACATGTTTAGAGATGGAATGATCTATGACAAGGCAGGTTTAGTAATAGGTCTGCTGAATATGCCTCTTCCCACTTGTCTTATTGGTGGTTTATAGTTACTACAAGGTGTCAGAGACGTGGGTCTCTTCAGTAAAAAGAAGAGTCCGTGGTGTTGGTGGGGTAGCAGGGGTAGGGAGTGGAAGCTCTTGATGATCAGTTTCTTCATAAAGGCAGGATAGAGAGAAGAGTATGTGTCCTAAAGGAGGAAAAATACATACATTTGCTTTTATGATTAAAAATATAGAAGGTATAAAAGGGTACAGAGTAAAAAGTGTCCCCCTGTCTCCCAGTCATGCAGCTTCTCTGTCCTTGGAGGCAACCAGTGTTAGCATTTTCTTTCTCCTTCCAGAGGCATCTCATACATATATAAGCAATTGGAAACTCCCTTTTTACTTGAGTGGAGTAAGTTAGGCCTACCCTTCTTTGCTGTTTTGGGGTTTTTTTGGTCTGTTACCAGCATATCTCAGAATGTATTCCATATCAGTATAGAGAGCTGCTTTTTCTCTTTTACAGTTGCATAGTATTCAGTCCTATGAATGTACTACAGTTATTTGGCCAGGTGTCTATTGAACATTTAGGTATTTCCAATGGCTTGCTATTACAACAAATAACCTTGTGCGCATATCATTTTGCATGTGTGCAAATATAGCCGTAGGATAAACTCCTAGATGTGGAATTGTTGGGTCAAAGAGAATGAGGAGATAAACAACATTGTCATTATATAAATGACCAAGTGGAGTAGGGTGAATCTGTTTAGACTTGACAGAAAAATTCCAGCCCTTCTACATTCATGGTCAGGAAATGGAGCCCTCACTGGGAAAGTCATAAAGTCAAACCTTGTGTGACAGGCCTTATCTGGTGCTTTCTGGTTGTACAAGAGCATTGGAAAGTAAGATCTACCCTTATGTATTTTCCTAAATGAATCCACTCAGCTGCTGATGCACATTGGAATGAGCCCTGGTCTGGAAGATTCCAAGGACAGTTTGTATCACTGTCACATATGCCATCCTTCATCCCCAGCAATAAAATCTGCTCCCATTTCAGGCCGGAAGATGGAGCTAGCGATATCATGCCCTCCATCACCATCCTAATTCTAAACAAAACCCATTCTGTGCCAAAGCAGTTGCAAAGTTACTTCACCCAAAGCAAGCACTCAGCCAACTGTTTTAAAATATGATAGGATTCTTGCCCATAAAATGCCATATTTTTTATTACCTAAAAGTTAATTTATGTTCCCTAGGAATCCTCAAACAGGGTTCCTACTCTTGATCAATCATATTGTAATACATGGGAATTTGGGGGAAATGGTGCCCTGCCTGGATTTGAGAGCTGGGGATGTAGAAACCCAGACCCATGCTTGTGGCAAAGATTCCTAGTTGTCCCCAATATCCATTCTCCCCTTTTTATTTTATTAATGAATTCCTCTTCCACTTTTAAGCTAGACACAGGTTTTATCTAGAATAAAGCTTTCTTTGCAGCTTTGTCGTTCTGTATGTCCAAGTTCTGGCCAAAGAACCGTAAGCAGAAGTGGTGTGTGCAACATCTGTGAAGTGTCCCTAAAAGGAGAGGGTGTGCCCTTTTCCTTTTATCTTTCCTGCTGGGTAGGATACAGACATGATAGCTGGCGCTGCAGCATCCATCGTGGGCCATGAGGTAACTTTAGGAATGTTGGTCACACACAGTGGAGCAAAAGAGAAGGTACCTGGGACCTAGATACCTTGTATTACCTCTGGATTTTTACAGAAAAATAAAATTCTGTGTTAATTAAATCAGTTATTTTTAGTTTTCTGTCACATGTAGTTGAACCTAACCATAACTGACACAGTCCCCTAATTTAGGAAAAACAATTCCAGAATCATCTCTCAGTGGTGAATTATTAGCATCACTTTTGGAAATGAAGAAAAGCTACTTCACTGGAAACTCATCCTTCACAGAGAAACAAAGGCATGGCAAATACATTCATTGGCAGTAGTTCCAATACCTGGCCTTCATCTTTCTTCTACCTCAAAGGCAGCTGTGAGATACTCCTTTGGAACAATCCCAATGAGGCTGTTAAGTTCTCCTACCCACCAGCCATACATATTATACTCCTGAAAAATGAAAAGAGAATGGTTTCAGCTGGAATTTGGTCATATTTCTGTTAATCTCTTATGGCGATTGCATGGGAGATTCTGTTGGGTGGTTAACACCCTTGATGGGATTATTAAATTAAAAAAAGTCATCTAGAGGAGGAAAGCAAACTGTTTTCATTTTGCCATCTTCCTGTCTACATTGTAAACTTAGCACATTTGATGCCATAGCCGAACCTCTTGAGGATCCCTGAATACAGAAGAGCTTCTCAAAAAATGCTCTTTAGCATTTTTAAAAATCAAACACAATTGAATGGCTTCTTCAGAGAAAGTTGGGCACACCCTAAAATGCCAGAACACTAAAAATATTCAGGGAGTCAGGTCATAGTTCAAATCAATATTTACCAAGCATCTTCTATGTGCAAAGTGCTGTTTGAGTTCCCATGAGACATATAATGAAGAATCAGAACATTGCTTGCTCCCTGGGAGCTTACAGCAGAGAGTAATGGGCTTTGGAATCAGACAGACTGGGATCTAATCCCCACTTGTTCATTTAGTAGCCATGTGACCTTAGGTTCTCCTAGCTTTAACTTTCTCTCTGTAAGAGTTGGAAGACTATCACCTCTCCCCTATGTTGTGGATATACAAGTGACACCACAGAAATAAAAACAATTCAAAGTGTCTGATACATAGTGGGTGCTCTAAACATTAGAGGTGGGAGGTTCACAGGTACATTAATGACAGGCAGGACATAAAAGCCACAAGGAGGGGCAAACAAACAAGGGAATGAGAGGGTTTAAAAGAAGGGGTGGTCACAGGGTTGAGAATGGGGATCCCTGAATACAGAAGAGCTTCTCAAAAGCACAGCAGATGCTGAACATTATGGGAGTATTTCTGGAAGCACGAGAAAGTGTTTTCTTTCTTTTGAAGGCAGTAAAATTTAGGAATACATGGGAAATATCATGCATTCCAGTTCAACTGGATTTGGGGCACCACAGGGCTGTGTTTGCACACCTAGGTGCTGAGTTCTAAGAAAAAGGGAAAAGAAAGAAAACCAGGTTGGTGACAATAAAATTCTGGGTCAAGTGGTTATCTTTTTGATAGTGTATCTCCCCTCCTCCAATTCTGCCTCTCCTGTCCCTCTCAGCAGATGACCTCTTTTCCACCTTCAAAGAGAAAAGAGAAGCCATAAGATTTGTCAACCGTCAGCCACCAAAACAGAAACGTACCAGTATTGACAACCACCCTTCCTTCCCATTAAAGTGGAGGAGGTGTCCTTCACTCCTACTATGTACTTATAACCCTTCTGCTTTTTTTCTTAGAAATGAGGTTCTATGGAGTCTGACCTCTGCCTCTAATGTAAATGGCTTCTTCCATCAGCCTTGAAATGTGTTCAAGTTTCTTTCACCTTTGGAAACAAGTATTAAATAGTCCCCGCCACATGTATACTTTCCATTTCTACTAGTCTGTGCTGACAGCCAATTCACAAACTTACTGAGTTTCCTTCACTTACTGCCCCAACTTCTTGCTTTCTATTTACTCTCCACGCCGGTTTAATCAGGCTCTGCTTCCATCGCTCCACTTATGCTCTCTCCATGGTCTCCTATAACTGCGCCATTGCTCAAATTCTCAGGGTACTTCTCAGTCCTTAACTTACTTGATCTCTCAGCAATGCTGGCACTATAGACCCTTCTTGAGGCATTTTTTTCTCTTAGTAGCCATGATAACTGTACTCTCCTAGTTTCCCTCTTACTTTCTAGTTCTCATTCTCCTCTACAGGTTTATCTTCCCCTGTCCCTCCTTTTAATGTGGTGGTTTTCCAGGGTTCTGGCCTGGCCTTCTGGCTTGATGCACTTTCCTTGAGCAACCTTACACACCTCTGTAGTTTAGCCACCATGTCTGCGTAAATGACTCAGAACCACAGGTCCAGCCTAGAGCTAAGTGACGGATTCCCAATACCCAAATGCATGTCTGTCAAGCTGCTCAAACACAATATATCCTAAATTGAACCCATCACTCTGCTTCTATTTCCACTCCCACGCCTAAGCTTTCTTTACCTCCTGTGTTCTTTGTCTCAGTAAATGGTACCACTATGAACTCAGTTACTCAAGCCAGAAACCTGAGAGTCATTCCCAATTTCACCCTGCTTTTCCAATCAGCCCTTGAGTCCTGTCAATTCTTGTTCCAAAATATCACTGGAATCCACCCACTTCTCTCCATTTCTATTGACAATACTCCAGAGTCATGTCACTGTCATCTCTCATGAGGACTACAGAAACAACCTCCAAATTGGTTTCTGCATCTCCAGTCTCATTCTCCTCCAATCCAGTCTTCATTCTGCAGCCAGAATCTTTCTAAAATCACTGCTCTGCTAGAAACCTTTAAGTGGGTAATTACTGCCTATTTATTGTCAACTTCTTAGCACAGTGGTCAAGCCCCTGCATGACCTGGTCCCGCTCACTGTCCAGCACTTTCACTCACCCCTTAAATCTAGTGGACCCTTAGTAAAACAGAATTTATCTCAGCTGCTCCCATGGGCTACAGGCTCTCTCATCTTGGAGTCTTTCTTCTGCCTGTTCGCTTCTACTCCCTTACTCCCTTTCATGCGCTCACCCCTGAGCAGCTATCGGATCTCAGTCCTTGAGTCTAGATTCTGCAGAAGCCCCACCTTGCACTCTCTGGCTGTGCAGGGGGGCCCCTAGCTATGTGGTCCACAGTGTCGTGCCCTGTGCTTCCCTGGTAATGAGTTCATCACACTGCCTTGTGTCAATCTGCCTTTGTCTCAGTTCCGATCACTGGGTGGAAAGTTCTGTGAAGGCTGGGACCTTCCCTGTTGGCTTGTTTGCTTGTGTATTCCCAGCGTGCAGCATGGGACCCAGCACAGAATGGGGCTAAAAAACACTTGTTAAATGAGGTCATGAAGAAATGAAGGGAGCAGTGGGGATGTGTACTCCCAGTTGAGCAGATATGGTTACAGCTAACTACAAAATATCCCCCTGGTGATTGAGCTGGTTGTGGCAGGAAGAGAGCAACTGCCTTTGGAGACAGTTTCTCCAAATGGCTCCCTCAATACCACGAAGACAGGCTCAAATGGCATAAGAAATGAAACTATCGAATTGATCCTAAAAGGAACAGAGAACTGTCTTTAAAAATCAGTGTGAAATAAATGAATATGTCCACTGCCATTCCCTCAGTGTCTCCACCAGACCTCATTCCCTCCCTCCCCCAGGCCAACTCCCCTACAGTCTGCAGTGCCTTATGGGAAATTACCCAGAATTCCTTAGTCTATGCTGTTAGAACATTTTAAAGTGCCTATTGGTACAACTTATGTTCCTGCCTATCTCCCAACACTGAAGTTAAGGCAGTTTCTGCTGTAAGTTTTCTTGTAGTATTGCCTTGCATTCACATGCTGCTGCAATGGCCATGCCTATAGAACCTTGCTGCGGAGTGGAAACACATCCTCTGTCTTCCTCTCATTGTAGTAAGTCATGAAAACTCTAGCTTTAGCTTTTCTATTATCTCACACGTGTGTGGGGGCGGGGCATGATGTTGTCTGACAATCTTTTGATCACAGTCAGCTTGCTTAAACATGTGTGAAGAGTGGTCTTCTACCTACCAGATGCTGTCATCTTCATCACCTGAGGGGCTCAGAGAGAACATTCTCTCCCTAGGGGCCATTCAAGACTCCTAACTCTGACAGATACCTGGCAACATCCCCCTTTAGCTGTAATGCTAGGAGTAGGGACCGAGCCTTGGGAAGATACTCTCTGCCAACTCAAAGAGGGTGCAAACAGGAAGCAGATGAGGCACGGCAGGACACCTGCAAAGGCCAAGCTTCCAGTCAAAGTGCTCTTGCTTGAGGGGAACACTGACCCTGCCGACCACAGATGTGGCAGCCTCACCACAGTGGTAAGAACTGAAATGAGTGAAATCAGCTTCCTGCCCTTCAAAACAAAAGAGCAGGCAGAAGTGTAAGGAGAATGGCATAGTCTCAGAGACCATATGTATCCTGCTGTGGGAGCCTAGGAGCTTAATCAAAGCACCTACAGGTCTTGAGATCTGACTGTCTTTTCCAGATTTCATCCCTTGGCTGGATACCCGAAAAGGGCTGCAGGGCTGAGATGTTTAAAGCATGAATGGAAAATTTCTAGCCTTCTCTTTTACTGCCCCACCCCCATGCATTGCTCCAGCCCAGTCTGAACACCACGAGGTATTTTAAAATAATTTCTACTTTGATGAATTGCTGGGGAGTCCACAATTGCTCATAATCAAAGGGAGAAAAATGCAAATGAGATCCGGCCGAGAACTATCACCACCAAACGTTTATTTCACTGCACAGTGCCAAAAAGAATTAAAACAACATTAAACTCACAGCAATCATGTTTAAGCCCTCGTTTCCAAGTGCCAAATTGCACCACTCTGGATCATACAGATGTTCGTTAATTATGCTAATTTTTATTAAACTATTAAAATGGAGAGAGTACTGGCTCAGCCAGGCAGACCCCAGCTCTGAATGAACTCTGCTCTTGTCTAGAGGTGCTAATTTACTGCATTTTTATTAAGTTGCTGATTCTTGGATTTTAGTTTGTGGATGGCAGAGAGAACTGAATTCCTGGGATTAACATTTTCAATAAAGTTTGACTTTTTTTGCCTAGATGTTTGGAAAGACTGGAAAAATGCCGAGACATTCTCGGGAGACCTCAAATCCTCAATGTGGGGATACATACCTACAAGTGACAATGCTAGGGAATCAGAATTATACAGGCTCCCCACGCTGTAACTCTATATACACTGTGTATGGTAGAGCTAAGATGTTAATTATACAGAATTGTTAATTGAAGATGCTTTAGATAAGAATATAAAAAGCTATTTAAAAACCCTTCACATCAGTGCTTGCTTCTTGCCACAAAGTCTTTTAAGAAGACTTTCACTTGAAAATAGTACAATGTGTGCTTTGTTCTCATCATAAATATCTCTAAGCTCGATTAAACTTCTGTTTCCCTCAACACCAATCCTGCCCC